TAAAAATAATATAAAAGAAAATTATGCATGAACTGGAAAATAAATATGCCTAATTACACGCATGTCGATATTTTTTTCTATTTTTTGGTGGATTTTTATTTTATATTTGTCCACAATTCATTTTAGGCAACATCGTACCAATTCAATGTAACACGAGGGAAAGGTTTCTATACTTCCCCTACTGCATAGAAGATCTATGCTTCCCCTACATCTGTCCAATTTTGATCAAGAGAGCCACTCACCGTTTGATCTTAGATCTGACGTCTCAAAGTATTTTATTTTTAGTTTTTTATACAAATTGCATGAATATAAACTTTTGTACGTGCCATCTTCTCAGTGAGTCGCACCTATAAAATATACTAAAAATAACTTTTCGATAAAATATATGACCACAATGCCCCTTGAAACTTACAGGTGTATTTGGTCATTTTATTTTATTGGAAATATTAATTTTATATTTTTCGCTAGTGCAAGTTTAATAGAGGATTGGACGTACAAAATTTGGTGTCAAAATAGTTTATAAAAAAAATTAAAAATAAAAATAGTATAGAGACATGACATTGTGATTGGGGCAATCTTAACCCTCCATTCAGAATGGACGATTGGATAAAGGGAAGTTTATAAGTTTTATGTTGTAGGAGAAGCATAGAAAGCTTGCCTGTAACACAATATCCATTAGCAGCGTCAACAGCCCCAAGTATCAATCTCACCCAAGTATGGAGCAATTCGACATTGGTCACATAGAATGGCACCCAATATTAAAAATATTTTTTGTACAGAGAGGATCCAGATCGATGTCAGAAACATCAAAGTGCCCTAGGAACCAAGTTTGGCAAAGCCGTTGCAACTAGGTTTTAATAGCGCTACATCTCAAGTTCCATTCCTACGGGTAGGGGCCGTCCCCATTTAACTAACCAAAAGAAGAAAAAATATCGAAGTGTCTCAGACTTGGGCCAGATTGATAGGCAAGGCAGTTCAATGTTGCTAATATAAAACTAGATATGGGGTGGTTCAATGTTGCTAATATAAAACTAGATATGGGGTGGTTCAATTTCTGGGTTATCATGGTCATGAAAATAAAAATAAAATCTTGAAAAGTGGTTTGATGTTGCAAACATCTAATCAAAATAAAAAACAAAAGATAGGACGTGTGTAAAATTAGAGAAAATATAAATCATACAATTGTTCACTTTATTTTCGATTTACGCATCATTTTTCCTAATTTAAATTCGGTAACAATAAATAAAAAGGGGAAGTACTTTATAAAGGGTGTGGTTGGTATGCCTACGCTCTAAACAATCAAATTAGAGGCTACCTTCAAATAGTGTCGAGTAATGTGGTTTCAATATTGGAAATCATTGTGATAGACTTAAAATATATTTTCATATTTATTTATAAAGTTTAAAACTTCAAAAATAGTGTAGATTGACATATCTATAAAAACTTAAAAATCTTGAAAATTGACGGTCCAAAAATTCGTTACAAAATGTACTATGTCCAAAACTTGAAATCCATTTTTTTCTTATATCCATGCATCTTGTTGTCAAGATGATCAATTTGAAGATATTTAGGCATCAAAACAACCTCTTCTAGTGAAAATTTTGAGGTAGGCTCAAATTTAATTGTTTAGAACCTCGGCTCTATATAAACTTTTTCCTTTTATAAAAGGGAAAAGTTTATATAAAGTTGCAACCTTAAAATGTAGAGCTACGGATGCACCTCAAAAATTCATCGGAAAAGATTGTTTTAATATTGAAAAACCTCTAATTGATCATCTCAATGTTGAGATATATGACTATGAAAAAACAAAGGATTTTGAGTCCCAAAAATGATGGATCTTACAATACATTATCTACACCGTCCATTTTCAAGATTTTCATATGTTTATAGATCTACTTGATTTTAATCATTTTTAGATTTTAAAATTTTATAATTAAATATGAAAATAGATTTTGAAATAATCTTATGGATATTTTTACATCAAGATTATATTCTATGATAAAATTTGGAGGTGCACCTGAAATGGATTGTTTAGGGTAGCAACTTTATGGAAACCACGCCCTTTATAAAATGTAGGTAGCTTTAGATAGCTTGCCAATGCATAGAAACGATGATCACTACCTAGACGATAGAAAAGGCAAAAGATATTATCCTCCCGTGGGAGTCAAATGTTCATTTATTCCCTCGTGTAAATCCCCACCCGTAATTAATTTTAGGACCCCCAATTTTGGGATATAACATTTTCATCCTATAGATTAACCTTCATAAAAAACAATTTCGTAATTGTACCACCTATGCACTTGAAAAAATAATGGCTTTGAGATTGAATAGAGACCATTCAATTTTTTAGATGGTGAGATCTTCATATCAAAAAACTCAAATTTTAAATTTATTTTTGTGAATAATCATCTAGCAATTAAATGTTTTTTATGAATTTAGATTGAAAAAAATCCTCCTTGGTAGGTTTACGGAACAAGGGAGTAGAAATAAACTATACCCCCGACTGAGCATAGCATATGATAAAAAAAAGTATCAAATCGTATAACATGTTTTTGAACCAACCATCCTAGGGCTTCACAAACATGGCAATATGAAAACTGCATCTGCAAATAACAATGCATATACATAAAGGGTTTGTCTAGAATTAACAACCCCTCAAAATACGACGGTTAAAGCTATAAGGGGCTGTGATAGGTGTATTTATCAAAAAGATCAAAAGTAAATTTGAAATTTTTACAAAAAGTACAATGGTATTTTGGAAGTTAGTGTCTTGGAACTTTATGTATAGAGTGCCCTTGTCTTTTAGTAAAAATTTCAATTTTGCCTTTTATGAAGATGATAAAAGTACCCATTCTCTTATAGTAATATTTACAAAATTGTCCTAACTTAATGATGAAGATATCACAAAAAGTAACTTTTTTTAAAAAAAAATAGACTACAAAATTCGTAAATCCACCATTCACAACTCTCCTTATCTTTAACCTTTGTAATTTAAAAGGTTGTAAAGTTTAGATTATCCCATACATAAATTCCTAAATCCTTGTTCTTGCTCTTTAGTGATCAAAATCAGAGTAGGCATTGACCATAAAACTTTAAAGGGAAAAGCTTACATAGAGTCGAGGCTCTAAACAATCAAATTGGAGCCCATCGAAAAATTTTCACTAGAAGAGGTTGTTTTGATGTCCAAATATCTTCAAATTGGTCATCTCGACATCAAGATGTATGGATATGAGAAAAAAAATAGATTTCAAATTTTGGAAATAGTATATTTCGTAACGCATTTTTGGATCGTTAATTTTCAATATTTTCAAGTCTTCAAAGATATGTCAATCGACACTATTTTTGAAGCTTTAAATTTTATAAATAAATATGAAAATATATTTTAAGGCTATCATATGGATTTCTAGTATTAAAACCACATTTCTCGACACCATTTGAAGGTAGGCTCTAATTTCATTGTTCAGAGCCTAGGCTTTATACAAACCCCACCCAACTTTAAATAGGGAATATATATAACTACTTTGACAAAAAAAATAATGTCAAAAGGAGCTATCAACCCATTGTTGGAATAGAACTCAAGTCATAATGTTGTGGTGCTATGCCACCCTGGCCACCTAACCTTGAAGACATGCTATTATTGTTCATTCCTTTGTTTTCATTTCGTTGTTCCAACCAGTGTTGTTAGGGATCAAACATGATACCAAACAAGGGAGACGT